TAATAATGCCCTTTTTTTTGTTGTTGTTGTTTTTCCCCCACCCCCCCATGCTGGGGATCTAGTTTGGATCCTCCTTATTTTCTTTCTTTCTCGGGATATTGCAGAACGTCTTATAAACAACCTGTTGAGTCCAGAAGGTCTGACTCCAAGCCCAGGGTTCACCCGCCGGTGAGTGGTGCTTGCTCCTGCGAGCAAGTCTGTGCTCCTCCTTGCAATCTGTGGGGCTGTGGAAGGCTGTTTGCAGGTTTTAGCATCACCATTTAGTGAGAGATGTGTGGGTTGGGGCTTTCTTCTTGTCTGCTCTGTTGTGGGTTGGTTTTGCTTACCAACAAATGTACTCCAGTAAGAACCGTAATGAAAAACAGCTCTAAAGATGCTTTCTGCAAGTATGGCGTACTCCAGGCCAGGAGAAAAACAAGCTGTAGTGATAAAAGCACGTTGGGCTAGGTGGTGGCCGTGGTGGTTGTGCCTTCACTCCCAGGATGAAGCGGCAGAGAGCTTCAGAGAGCAGCAGAGGCAGGTTCTTAGTGTGCACCGAGCAAGCGGGATGGGGCAACTTTCACGAGCCAAAGAGCCTTAAGTTCAGTTTTGGCTGGTTTTGCTGTTGTTTTTTATTCCCTTCTTTATGGAGAACCTGGAAATAGGTGTGCCAGAGCACCCGGTGAGGGGCCGAGGTGGGGTTTCAGTCGTTGGTAGCTCTCTGTGCTGCTGGAGGGGTTGAGGATGTGTGCTGCAACAAACCTCATGGTTTTTGCAAATCCCTCCATAGTCCAGGCAGAAAAGCCTCCAAGGAGCAAGTGCTCCATTTCAGGACTGAAATTCCCAAGTGGAGATGACCTTGAATTTGAAAATACCCCTTTCGTGCCACAGGCCTCTGGTGTCTTCCCGGGCTGAAGAAGACAGCCTGCACGAGGTGGTGCCAAGCCATACGTTCCTGTCCATACGCTGCCATCCAAAGATGAGCTGTGCAAGGACGTTTTCTTTGTTCTGGAAACCCATGGGAGAGATGTCTATGCTTGCAGAGAGCTTTTTCCTTTTTTTTTTTTTTTTTCTTTCTTCCTTCCTTTTTTTTTGCTGCTGAATTTGGAAATTGCTTTTCCTCCCTCGTCTCTTTGTGAGGGCTGCAGCGGTTTTCTCCTCAGCTCGTTGTTTGCGCTTCTCGCAAGCTAAATAACAAGCGGTCTGTGTGTGTGTACGAGTTGGTTCCTGTCCAAGCGGTGGGAGTCGTTAAGGGTGTTCAGCAGTTAGGTTTCTGTTCAGTGAAACAAAGACGGCATCAAAGTTGACAGAGCCCTAAATTTGCCCCCAGTATACTCCTTCCCTCTCTCGTTACGCGGTGCTGTCCCGCTCGTGAGTGTTTGCAGAGAGTTTGTGAGTGGCTCCAGCTCTTCCCTCGCAGCATTTCACTGCAAAAAAGATGCTGAAAAGGGGCTGATGTGGATCGATGTTGTAGCTGTGGTCAGCAGCTGCTGCAGTGGAAAAGGAAGAGGGATATGGTCCTCCCTTCCCAAGCAGCCATCCTTCCACTTGGAGGGAGGTCGGACAGAAATGCAGAATCCCAGACTGGTGAGGGCTGGAAGGGCCCTCTGGAGCTCCCCCATCCCACCCCCCGCCAGAGCAGGGGCACCTCCAGCAGCGGCACAGGACGGCGTCCAGGCGGGTTTGGGATGGCTCCAGAGGGGGAGACTCCCCCACCTCTCTGGGCAGCCTGTGCCACCGCTCTGCCGCCCTCACAGCAGAGAAGGCCCTCCTCAGGTTGAGATGGAACTTCTATGGTCACGTTTGTGCCCGTTCCCTCTTGTCCTGTCACTGGGCACCACTGGAAACAGACTGTTCCCATCCCCCTGGCACCTCCCTTGAAGGATTTGTGAGTATTAATAAGATCCCCATAAGGGACATAAGGTCCTTTTGTTCCTGTTGCCTTCTTCCTCGTGGGAGCCCACTGCATCAGATGCTGGAAGATTTACAGCTCCAGCACCTCTGCCCCCGTCCTGACACGGGCAACCGACACGAAGTTGTCCGTTCTCAGCGTCACACAGGTCTGGCTCCAGCTGAGGTCCTGCATCCCAGGCCAACGGGTATTTACGTGGGAGCCCGGAGTGACAGGGGGACGAGGGCTGGTGTGGAGGTGTGTGGTTCCTGCTCCCACCGCAGCCTTTGAGGAGTGTGCGCCCCTGGGGGGACGCTGCTGTCACACTGATATTCTCAGAACCGGCGCGTGCCTCCGGCTGCCGGTACGTGCCTATGAGAGCTTTCATCCCGCTGTTTTACCGGAGATGTTTCCTTAGGTTTTTCCCATTATGTTCTGGCTAGCACTGTTGTGCTGGTTTTATTGCCATTAGGCATTCAGTGGAAACGTGATGTGTGGCCTTTGGCAGCTTTGCGTTGTCCCTCAGCTCCATTAAGCCCCATTAGAGGCGTTCGTTCCCGTGCCAGTAGCAGTTGTGCGGCACAGTTAAGTGCTGGCCCCGCAGACGGCGGATTTATGAGAGGGTGTCACTCTTGTGATGTCAGGAATCCAAGGCTTGGAAACGCTGGGAATCCTGTTTACCATCTGTTTCCATGGCCCTTCCCTAATAGACCTCTCCTCCTCCAGAATTCAAGGATCTTTAATCGCAACTGTTTGGCTTGTGGTGGGAGGGAGGAAATCCCAAATTGTGGAGGAGACGGTGGCATTTCTTGACCTTTTCTGTGTGTATCTCGGAGACAAACACACTCTACCGAGCGTGCGTGTGCTTATGTTTGTGGGTTTAGTCTTTGGGTGCGTTTCCGAACGCAGGCACTCAGCGAGATGCGAAGTTACGCATTTCTCTGCGACAATCGAGATGATAAACTTGCAAACCCTTTGGAGGGGGGGACAGTGCGTTAGCGACGCTGAGCCACGCACAGCTGCCTACGAGAAACGCGCTTACTAAATGTTTCCAGGTATGAGGCATTTCGCTTTGTTTGGAAGATGTTAAGCGTTGCAGTTTTGAGTCGTTGGGTTCGGAGTGATGCCGCAGACCTGTCCGCCTGTGCGGGAACTCTTACAACATCATCCTTTGCTCTGGAGGGAGTTTTGAGTGTGCGGCGTGTTCTCTCGCCCCGAAACAACTCAATAAGATCGCTTTGTTCGCACACAGTGAGAGCTGTGGCTCATCTACTCCTCTTTGCGCGTGAAAAATATTACAGCGGTCCCATGCAGAAGTGTCTGCTGGAGGATGATGTAAAACTGAGCAATATTTTCAGAATTGAGTGACTCTCCATTTGGGGTGCTCTTTGTCTGACGTGTGAGATTACTCAAAAGAGCCTGGCATTTAGAAAGTGGATTTTCAGCGGCTTCTGAAAAATCGAGCCATAAAACTGGTGCCGCATGGGAAATCGTTGGTCTCGTATGCATATTTAGTACATGCTAAAGATCGGGGAAGCACCAGTTCTTGCGATTCCATCAAGAAAACTCGATCAAGACTGATAGCATCAGAAGTGAAGTCGGGAGACGGTTTGATGACGCTTAAAATACAAAGATTAGGTTAAAGTAGTGCACAACGTGATGAATCAGTTTTCCCCTTAGGGTGAGCTGTCTCTCTCTCCCTTTTCTGCTATTGTCCTGTTACTCATGGACACCAACTGACTGTTGCTTTCCATCTGCGTTGCCTTTGCTGCTGCTTCCCCGGCCGTGCACTGGTCCCGTGCGGAGAACTTTGCTTTTGACCCAGCAGTTGTGCGGTTGGGCTCATTCTCCTTGGGGAATGCTCTTGGGAAAGCGGCACCACAGCTTGAGCTACGACAATTAGAGTCGGAAAGCAGCCGCGTCACCTTAAGTTGACGAGTCAAAGCTGCCTTAGCTGGGGCTGGAGCAGAGTTGTTATTTTCTGTGGACTGGGCAAAGGGGGAGATGCTGGAATGTGCCATTGTGTTTGCACTGATGCTTAGGAAATCCTCTCGTAGCATAAGGGCTCCTCGCTGCCGCAGTGTGTCGCAGACCAGCGCGTGCCTTTCCTCCTGGACAGAGTCTCAAAGGAAAGCCTTTCTTCTGTCCGGCTCTGAGCATCCCCTCTTTGTAACAGACTTTAAATGGGAGAGACCAAAGGCGTGAGGCTTGTGTTCTTGCTGGGGAGAACAAGAGGTTTAGTGCCCTTGATATCGGAGCTTCTTCTGGTTTGTGAAGCATGGCAGGAAGCCCTTATAGAAGTGCCGTAAGTGTCCTCAGGGATGTAGGTCTTTTCTTGGGCTCAGTTCATTTGCCAGCAGCCTGACAGCTCAGAGGGTGGGAGGATGGTTGGTGCTGGGTGGGAAGTGGCTGGCCAGGATCAGACCTGGAGCTAGAATCATAGAATGGTTTGGGTTGGAAGGGACCTTAAAGATCATCCAGTTTTGCCCCCCCCCGCCCTGGCCCTGGGCAGGGACACCTCCCACCAGCCCAGGTTGCTCCAAGCCCCGTCCAACCTGGCCTTGAACACCTCCAGGGATGGGGCAGCCACAGCTTCTCGGGGCAACCTGCCCCAGGGGATCACCACCCGCACAGGGAAACATTTCTTCCTAATATCTCATCTAAATCTCCCCTCTTCCAGTTTGAAGCCATTCCCCCTCGTCCTATCACTCCGTGCCCCTGTAAAAAGTCCCTCCCCAGCTCTCCTGTAGGGTCCCCTTTAGGTACTGGAAGGAAAAAGAAAAGTCAAAACTATTTTCTCAGTGAGTGGTTTCCTCCAGAGAGGGAATCTCCTGTCTGTGCCACAAAAAGCTTGCAGGGCTTTTGCCTGAGCTGAGGGAGAGGAGGACAAAAAAATCCCTTTGGGAAAGAGACCTGTCTTGATGGATGCGTGAGAAGCTTTTCTCCACGGTGTCATCCGAATGGAGGGCTGTTCTGAGCGCGAGCTGTTACGGCGAGGTGGGGGGGAGGAAGGCGGGTGTGCTGCTAGATGGGAGTAGGCAGATGGTGTCCATCCCTCGGGCGGCAGGGAAGGCAGTCAGGGCAGGCTCAGGCTAATCACCGTGTCGCATCTCCTGTTTGCGTTTCGCAGGTGGTTTCATCCCAACATCAGCGGAATTGAGGCAGAGAAGCTGCTCCTGACCAGGGGTGTCCATGGCAGCTTTCTGGCTCGACCCAGTAAGAGCAACCCCGGAGATTTCACGCTCTCGGTCAGGTAAGCAGCGGCGGAGGGGGGCTGGAGGAAGGGGTCTCCAACTCTCCAGCGCACCCTGCTCCGATGCATGTATGCGCAAGGGGAGGGGCCGCTGCGCAGAGATGACCTCTCTGTGGTTCCACTTGAAGTCAAAGGGTGGCTGAACTCTCCCCGTGGCTGCAGAGGCTGTGCTAAAAGCCACACGCTACTTCCCCCCCGTTCCGGGTTTGTCCTGCCAGGTTTGGCTCTGCGGTCGTGGCATGTGTTTCCAGAGCCAGAGGAGGAGATAATGAGCCCACTTACGTTTCTGGAGAGAGCGTGTTCAGTCCCAGCAGGGATGAATCATCTCACTCCAATTTCAAAGGAACTTAATGTGGCTGCCTTTGGGAGAGACTTTGTTTTCTGTGTCTTTAAGGCATCCCAGGAGCATCTCCGTACGAGAGCGAGCTTGCTGACCAGCCCCACAGGGGCTGTGTTCCCAGACAGTATCCCGTGCATCACCTTTAAAGAGCTCTTGTGTTCCGTTGGCGTGGGGCAATGGCAGAAGGGGAAGCTGCAGTTTTGCCCATGGTTGTTGCGAGCGTAGCCCCATACGATGCGCGGGAGCAGATGCGCTGGGTCGAACGCGCTGAAGGTGAATGGAAGGGAAGAGGTAAAGAGTAACATTGACCCAATGAGTACCTGAGATAGGAGCAGGTTGTAGGTCCAAGGCGTGAACCATCCAGCTGGTGCCTTGCAGGGAAATAGCTCAGCAAAGGTTTCTCCAGGCACTTGTAACACAGTTCTCTTTTTTTGTGGTGGCTTTTGTTAGTTTAAACAACCGTCATTTTGTTTAGGAAACTCCAGTGAGTTTATAAATCCTTTGACCAACACCCTGTTTAGAGAAACTTTGTGCAAATGACAGAATGGACAGAGTGTTTCCACCTGGGAGGGCACTGACATAGTGTCATAGAATGGTTTGGGTTGGAAGGGCCCTTGAAGCCCATCCAGTTCCATGCCCCTGCCCTGGGCAGGGACCCCTCCCACCAGCCCAGGTGGCTCCAAGCCCCGTCCAACCTGGCCTTGAACACCTCCAGGGATGGGGCAGCCACAGCTTCTCGGGGCACCCTGCGCCAGAGGCTCTCCACCCTCACAGCAAAGACTTTCTTCCTCATATCTAACCTAAATCTCCCCTCTTCCAGTTTAAAATTGTTCCTCCTCATCCCATCGCTCCCCTCCCTGATCCAGAGTCCCTCCCCAGCTTTCCTGGAGCCCCTTTAGGCACTGGAAGGGGCTCTAAGGTCTCCCTGAAGCCTTCACCCTCTCCTTGTTGCCTTAACCGCTTGGATGAATCATGGAATCATAGAATGGTTTAGGTTGGAAAGGACCTTGAAGACCATAGAGTTCCAACCCCCCTGCCCTGGGCAGGGACATCTCCCACCAGCCCAGGTTGCCCAAGGCCACATCCAGCCTGGCCTTGAACACCTCCAGGGATGGGGCCTCAACAACCTCTCTGGGCAACCTGTGCCAGTGCCTCACCACCCTCAAAGTGAAAAACTTCTTCCTAATGTTTAATCTAAACCTGCCCTCTTCCAGTTTAAAGCCATTCCCCCTCGTCCTGTCACTACATGCCCCAGTAAAAAGTCCCTCCCCAGCTAACCCCTTATGAAACCCCTCATGACCTTATTTCTTCCCTCCCTTGCAATTGTCACCGGACTTGAGTCTGCACTCCTCTCTGCCAAGTGCCGTCATTTCTTAGCTTGGCAAGAGGAAAGCTTTGCAGCTGCCTTATTTTTTTTTAAATGCTTCCTTTTGTGTTGGGGAATAGAACCCGACAGTCCAACCCTTCGCCTCTCAGAGGGCTCTGACCCACCGCAGCTTCTCATGCTATGGAGCAACACGGCCGAAGGGAAAAAAAGTCCATCTTTTCCCCCGCATTGCCTGGGCGGGGAGAGTTTGGGTCTGACTTCACCAGCTCCCCCGTAATCTTGCGATCAGAAGCGGCTGTCAGCTAATGAGAGAGGCAGGAAGTGCTTCTAATTAGAATGGAAAATAACCTCGGTCGAAGAGAGCTGCCTTGAGCGAGCCGTGACAGCAAGGGAATAGGTGTGAAACGGGGTGGGGGGGTGTCTTCATGTGAGCCGAGTGTCTCTTTTCGTGCAATTTTGTGAGTCAGGGTGTTGTCTGATGGTAAAGTGAAGCACTGACGACACCTGCTTAGCCGGGCGATGTGCAAGCAGACGCAGGTTATGGCTGCGCAAGAGTGTGCCGATGCGGAGAGATACCCAGCTCGCGGGATCAGTCCCCTGAAATAGCCCCGCTAATTGCTTTGCCGGGAGAGCCGGTTCCCACACCTGCGCTACGGCACTCGTGCTGCGGAGTCACTCCGCAAGTTTGCATCGTTTTCTCCCCTTCGCTCTGTTCCCGGTGCCTCAGCCAGTGTGTTTCTGAGGTTTGTTGCCTTCCACTTGTGCTGGTCCGCTGCCTCCCCTCTTCCAGCTGTGGCACGTGGAGAAAAGCTTCCCGTGGAACGGCTACGGAGTGTGGAGTGCCACAGCTGTGTTATTATCACGATTATTTCTTTACCCCTTTCAGCTTTCTCGGTGGAAGAAAGCAGAGGTGGGGGGGTGAGGGGGTGGAGGAAGGGAGTGTCAGATTATCAGAGGGGGTTTGGACCACTTCCTACTGCAGGGAGACCTTCTGTTGCAGTAAATGTTTAATAACAGTATGGTTTTGGCCATAAGATCGAGCCAATGAATGCCCTTAGTGCCTGAACGGTGCCCCGCGGTCACGAGATGCAAGTTAAGAGCAGAGCGATACAGCGTGCTTTAATATCGCGGTGTTGAACGATACCACCGCAACCCACTGGCAGATTGTAACTCAGTGGAAAGTCTGACCGCCTCTCGCAGTTCTGAGTAAACCAAAGCTGTGACACACACCATGTTTCCAGGAAAGCACATTAAACATGACACACAAGCTTAGAGGCGGTGTGTTGGGTTTTGAGGCATCACGAATTGAAGACGGGGAAGGAATTCTTCCATTGACTACTTCTGCGTGCAAGTCCTTGCTCCTTCCTGGCTCATCCCATCTCTACGCATTCACTCGAGGCAAGGGTTGTCCTGTAGGCTCGGCTATGGAAAATCTGCTTGGACATGGTCACTGGTTAGGTAGACCAGTTTTGCTTATACTTCATCTGAGCGATATGCTCTTTGCCCACTGATGATGGCCCCAAAAAACACGTGCATAAATGTTCTCAGGAATTAGAGCTGCAACACCTAATAGACTGTAGAATGAGTAGCTTTATGCGCTTTGAAAGCTGAAAACTTGGGAGATTTTTTCCCCTTATTTTTTTCCCCTTTTCCTGTTACATTACACACACAGACGTGGAACAATGTGTTATTATTCTCACCTCGAATTGTGCCCTGACAGAGCTTTTTTTTTATTTTATTTTATCTCTGAACTGGACAGGTCTATATATTTTTTCCTTTCTGAGAAATAAAATCTTCAAAGGAAACAGTAGAGATACCTTTGAAAAAGTACCTAAAATAGAGGTGTCAGTAGGAGAAAGTACCTTTAGGAAAACAATCAAAACCTCTTCCTACTCCTTTCAGCCCCCCTTCAGCTTCTTCAAGGGTTTTTGAAAGCCAGTGAGGGGAAATGCAGCTCCTTTTAATTACAGAGAGGATGTGGGTTGAAAAGAAGGCGGGCGATGGAGTTTTGGCTGACCAGACCACACACCAAGCGACCGTGTGCTGGTGTGTATCCAGATATGTGTCCCTGAAGAGCGGCTAGGAAATCATACTGCAGAAGTTAAGAGAAGGTTTCCATGAAACTCTGTGTCTGCTTTCCCCATCTTTCTTTCTTTACCTCTGTGCACTCTTTCAGCCTTTACCATCACAGCAACAAGTCTTCACAGGGCTTTGTTTTTTCAGCTCTTAAGAGGCAAGCCATATGGAGAGGACATGATATGGTTAATGAATGGATGATGTTTGTCCTGATAGAAAAACCTCTTCAAAAATCCCCAGCACTCCGTCCAAACTGCGGGCAGCTTGTAATCGCCCAACCTGGCTCCTTTCATCAGCTCTTCCTCTTCTGAAACCTGCTCCTTCTTGGGGACGTCTCTGCAGATCAGTTCAAGAGCTTGTTCCACCCTGCGGATCAGACTCACCTGCCGTAGAGCAGTGCCAAGAGAGCTCCATTTCTGAGAAATCTTTGGTGTGCTGTGGGGGTACCTCAGTGCTGGGTACTGAATTTGGATTTATTGGCTCATCTTGTTCTTTGGGCACTCCAGCAAATACGTGGAGCACATCAACAGGGAGGAAAGTGGTCTGGCAACTTCAGCTGGAGTGTAATGATGACGGAGAGTCATTTTGAGTAAGGCTGTAGTAATATCCGCTGCGTCTGGACGTGAGCAGTCTTGTTTTGTTCCACTCAGATGCTGCAGCGCTACTGTCCATGAGTATTTCAGCGTTGCCTGCACCCAGACCATAGGACAGCTCTGTACTGGTGGGTCACTTAATGTGGGTGCTGTTCCTCATCGCAGGGATTGGCTCCTGCAGGTTATGAGCACTTGTGTTTGCCAACGGTAGTGACGGCACTCCAACACTTCGTGCTTTCTGTAGAGTGGCTCACAAAACCTGCACCCAATGGGGCTGTTTGGAGGAATGCCTCAGCTTCTGAGCTTGGAAGGGGCCGTAAATTGGAGCTGGGCTTGCGGGACAAGTGGAGGAGCCCTTCTGGATGGTCGGAGAAGAGCCCGCTAGCTAGGATTTTTGGAGGGTGCAAGTTGACTTTATTTGCCCGTTGCAGTTCTGATGAGTGGCTCTTGCAAAAGCTTCCTTGCCTTTCTTGTACGGTATGTCACAGAAGGACATAGAAGGACCTGGTACTGGGTTTGCTTTTGATATTGAGCTTTCCAAATTTTAATCCCGATTCTTAAGAAAATAGACCTCTCTGAAAGTGAAGGCTATCAGAGGAGAAATATGGGAGGCCACACAGATGTGCCCCATGTTTCCAGCCTTCGGTGCTTGCCTGGATCTGCC